AGACCTAAGCTAGTTAGAATAGGATATTTGTACTTATTGTATATAATTTCATAGTAGGTTTAGAACTCTCTTATTTAAACAAAAGGGGGAGGTGCTGTGGGAGGTCCTCCCACTCCTCCAGTCTATAGCCGCTGAGATACCAGCCCGTTGGGGCGTGGTCTCTCTCCCTTTAAAAAAGCGGCCACTTCCCTCTCCTAGCTCTCTTCACTTCCTGGTCTGCCAGCAACTAGACTCCCTTCCTGGTTGCATAGAGGGCTGTTGTCTGGGAGGGTGATCTGTAAGTTTTTTCTCCTTTAAATAAATACCACCCTATTAATCATAATTCCAAACTGGTGTGGCATTGTTTGTGACTTATGCCTTCAGAAAGTAGCCAAAGGACTGAAGAATGGGACACTTCCTTATTAGATGATTTGATTTTTCTTTAATACCCAGAATGAGACACTTGAAACAGAAAGTTAGATTGGTAACTAATAGGTGGTGGGGGTCTGGAGAAATGAAGAGTAACTACTAATGAATAAAGGTTTTTTTTCTCGAATGACAAAATTATTTTAAAAGTAAATAGAATAATGGTTGCGTTATTGTAAGAACATAGTAAAAAAATACCTACTGGGTTATATACTTTAAAAGAGTAAACTTACTACATAAATGTATTACTTCTCAATATCTACAGATCACATTTCATGTCCATGTATGTTTTGTCTGCATATATGTATGTTCACTGTGTGCATGTCTGGTGCCTGCAAAGAGACAAGAGGGTGTTGGATCCCCTAGATATAAATATCTGTGAGCTTCCTTCCATATGGGTGTGGTTGTAGGTTGAAGGGTTTGTGCTGAGAAGTATTGAGGACTACTTTTCTCCTCCAGGGGCATGTAGAGTACCTTCCAGTACAGTGAACTGTGGTTAGTAGGTGAATAATGTAGTTAGACACCAGCTCAACGTCTCCATATTCAGTGACAGAAGTGTTCCCTCCAGAAACAAGACATTAACATCAGGTTGTGTGAGCAACCAAGAGCCTTGGCAATAATAGCCTGTGCTATTTGGTGGTTTCCATGGGTCCCTTTGGTGAATGACTCAATAGGCTGTAACCTGTTCCTGACACTGGAGGTTTAATTTGGTGGCACAAGATATCTAGTTGAAGTCTTCACTCCCCTGTTGTTTTTTGTCTCCCTGTGGGTTCCTTTCACATATGTAAAGGAAGATTCTAGGATAGTCAGTGTCCATATAGTTTTTCAAAGGACCTTTAGTATTGGTTGTCCCTCTCCATTTTCCTTCGTTTACCTTTCTGTCCCATCCCCCTTTCATTAAACCATCCAATTCTAGTTTTCCTTAATAGCTAAATAACACTATAGACTTTTTTCTTTCCTTTCCTCTCCTCCCTCCTGGTCCCTTACTAGGTTCCATACCTCTGTGGGTATTCAGATTGAAGTTCCCATATCAGAACCATAACATCCTTAAAAGAGAAAACATACAATATTTGTCTACATGTACTGAGCACTGTATGCTTTTGTCGCTGGAGTCTGACATAGGCACGCACAGAACACAACCTCGGTGCACAGCTGCTGAGTACCATTGTGAGCTCATAGCGCATCACTATGCCCCTAGAACTGTGTTGCTAAGAGTGAATCAGAATTCAGCTCACACTGAACCAAGGATCTGCCCAAGCAGGACGCTTATTTGGTTCAGTGGGGAGTTTTAATCAGATTTTGAACATTTACTATTGGGTTTGTGAGGGTGGGGGTGGTTAAAGGGGAAGGAAGGGAGGGGTAGTAGGCCCGTGAGGGCCAGGAGAGCCAGGAGGGCCAGGAGGGCTGGGAGGGGGGGCGGGGTTGTCGGGAGGGCCAGGAGGGCCTGTAGAGCCTTGAGCCTTAACATGCAGGAGGATATGGAGTATGATGCCCTAACCATTCGGGCCCCTCAGCGGTCTCGCTGGTATACCCGCCTGTGGCCCGCATGCCTGGGTCATGGGTGCTTGAGTCGAAGACAGCAGCGATTTCCTTTGTACCTAATTGGGTACGATCCCATGGGCCGATTACAAAGGGCGGCCAGTGTGGGTGATGTCAAATTAGTCGAGAGATTGATCAATGCCAGTGAACACCAGGTTAACGAATGCGACCGGAGGGGCAGGTAATGGGGCCTGAGGAGGGGCGAGGGGCAGGAGGGGCAGAAACTGTTGGGGACAGTCAGGGTCTACCAGGGAGAAACATACCTTCCAGATCTGCAGCCTGTGGGAAGGCAGATGTCATGCTTAAGGCTCTTCTTTCATGGAGACCTCTGGGTTTGTACCTGCTTTAAGCTCCTAGGCACCTGAAACCTACACACCTTGGAAGGGCAGCTCCGAGGCTTTTTTTAAGAGAAGCAAAACAAAGAACTTCAGTTAGTTTACAAATCCCTTTACATTGTCTCTTTTAGAGCACTTTATTGAGGGCTTTAAAGGAATTTAGCTAAGGAAACCACATACATCTTTTTATGTGTACACTTATAATTTTTTAGGTTTGAGTGTTTTGGCTGCATGTATTTTCAGTGTACCACACAAGCATAGGAAGAGGGTGTTGGATCTCCTGGAACTGGGGTCATGGACAGTTGTGATCTGCTGTGTGGGTGCTAGGAATCAAACCCAGGTCTTCTGCAGGAAAAACTAGAGCTTGTAAATGCCAAGCCATCTCTCCAGCCCTTTAATGTATATGTTTTTAATGCTGTGTTATATGCAACACAGAAAATTGTATCTTAAGATAAATTTTCACATAAAAAAGCCAACTCAAAGCCAAAAAAAAAACCCAAAGAATTAACAAGAAATCTTACGTCTGTTTCATGCTTGCTGAGGGATTTCATAAGGAAATTTTCAACTTGAACTATAACTCTGTCCCCCGGCCCCTTATATACATGTTGTGTGTGTTTTGGTACATACATGAAGGCTAACAGTTGACATTCTCTTTGAAAATTTCATCTCATTAAAAAATCATATGTGTGTGTGCACCTGTGCCTCACACATGCCAACTAAGTGTGTAAAGGTCAGAAGAGAACTATCGACAGCTGTGTTCTGCCATGTTGTGGATTCTGGGGATTAAGCGTAGGCCATTGGCTCTGCCAGTAGGAGCCCCCACCTGATGAACCACCCTGTGGTTCCTCCACCTCAGCTTTTTAGACAGATTCTCTCACCCAAATCCCCGCTGTGTTTGACTTATCGTCTTGGAGTATACTGACTGACCTAGACTTGCTGGCAAGATAGATTTGGGGATCCTCCTGTATCCACATCTCCAGCACCAGTTTCTCAAGTTGCTGGGGGTTCTGAAGTTGGGGTCTCAGGCTTGCAGGGTGAGTGATTTTCCAACTGAGTTGTAACAATCACTGCAGCCCTCTTTCCTAGTCCTTGTTTCCTGTTTCTCACTAGATTATAGGCAGGAAACAATGACCCTCAACAGTAGATTCTCCATAGCTCACATGCTTCTTGATCATGTCTGTAGTTGTGAGGTTATTTAGTCTATAGTTATTCAGTCTTCCAAATTAGAGCTTCATACAAATAATAGAACAGTAAATTATTGTTTCAAAGTATTTTTGCTTAATAAGTGTATTCTTTAAAAACACTGAATTTTCCAGCTGTATCTATCCATTCTGCCAATCCACTTATTCCCTGCACGTAACTTAGATATCTACTGTACAGCATACAAATCTACTAGCTCTCAAGACCCTCTCATTCTTAAGATATTACATTTCTCTCTCCAGTCAGCTTTACTGACGTTCTATAAATTTAAATATTGAAAACAATGAATGATGCTCAATTGAATCCCTAGTAATTTTTGTCTTTAAACTTTTTGAAAATCAAAGCAAGGGAGCTATGATACCATGGGTTATCTCCTTCTGGATAGATTTAATAAGTTTTGGTGCTAATTCATGGAGGTATAAGGCAAAGCCATTTGCTACCACCTGGTGTCTATATTAACATGGACATTCTGTCTATTGACTGAGGACTATGCTGTGTCCCTGTTGGCAGCAAATATAGAAACATTAATTCTGGGCAAAGAGAAATGAAAAAAAATTAAAGTATTGATGACTGAAATTTTAGATTTTTTGTTTGTTGTTATTGCTATTCTAAATAGTTTACATTTCATAGTCTTAAGAGCAGAAATTTACATAGATACATGTGACCTTTAGAAGTGTCATGGGCCTGTGGATTGTGTCATATTTCATTGGATGTCAGGCACAATGGACTGCGTGGTGACCTTTTATTTTGTATGGTAGCAAAGTAAAAAACATTGCCAATTATAGTCATAAAATATCATGAATTATAAGTGGCAGACATCAGCGATGCTAAAGTGTGAAATAAAGAGTAAGGTGGGTGCAGTGGAACTGCCTGCATTCCTACCTACTGGGAGGATTACCTACCAAGTTCAAGGCCAGCTTCGGGAATATAGTTTTAAAATATTGTAAAGATACTTGAGTAAAATCTTTCACATCTGCAGTAGGTATAATTCTGCTATTTCTCTTCATTGAAATATTGTGTTTGTTACCATTAGGAACAAATTGTAATTGTATCCAGCAACACTGAGCTGTCAGGTGCTGGAAGCATTTGTACATGCTCTTGAAGATGTGAGTTGAAGCGTCACAGCAGCACTGTGTAAGAGAGCTGCAGTGTTGAATCCCCATTCTACAGATGGAGAGATTGATTTGTGGAGCTCATAGGAGGTCTATGTTCTAACTAGTAACACTCGGTGATTAGAGTAGGATTCAAATCCAATCTGAGTTCAATCTACTGGGCATTCTTCTGTTATCCAGAGAGGTTGCTCTGAGGAAGGGTGAAGCTTGTGATGGAGCACTCGCCTTGAATGGGACAGCCATGCACTATATACCTAGCACAGAAAATGAACACCTGAGTAGAGAAATAAGTAAATAAGAAAATTTTAGTTTCTTTTTTTACATCAGAAGGAAATGCACATTGGTGTCTACTTGAGTGTACCTTTACATAATAATCTGTAATTTCCTAAAATGTCCTCTCAATTTGTAGGAGTCCACTGCACTACGTCTCTGCCCATAATCATCCTAATGTAGTAACATTGCTATCATCCAACGACTATACCGATATTAATATGAAGGATGATGAAGGCTGCACGCCCCTAATTAAGGTAGCTATCGTGAAACACTTTTGGTATAAAATGGATTAGAAATTATCCTTGTTTGGTTTTTGTTGCTGTGATGAAACACTGGCCAAAACCATCTCAGGAAAGGAAAGGTTTATTGGCTTACAATTCCAAATCACAGTCAGTCATGAAGGGAAACCAGGTCAGGAGTTCAATCAGGACCTGAGGCAGGAAATGAAGCAGAGGTCATGAGGGAATGATGCTTTCCCGTGGCTTTTTCCAAGGCTTGCTCAGATATATTATACTACTCAGGATAACCTTCCCAGTCATGCCACCACCCCTAGGAAGCTGTGCCCTTCCAGATCAACCTCAATCAAGAAAATACTATACACGCTTCCCAGAGTCCAGTCTGGTGGAGCCAGTTCTTCAAGTGACATTCTTTTTTTCCAGGTGTCTTCAACCTGTGTCAAGTTATCAAAACAAGCAAATGAACAGGCAACCTCCCCCACTACAAAAATGGCCAAACAGTGCTAGTGAAATCCTTTAATATCTAGGTGTGGTGGCACACCTCTGAAATTCTACCATTGGAAAACTTTGGTGGAGAGGTTATGAATTTAGGAAAGTCTGGGTACTTGAGAGGGATAATATGCATGATGTAAACAATTGGTCTGATCCAAGGGTAACTAGTCAATGGAATTGTTGGAATGCTTATTAAAGTTCTTGATTTCAGTGTCTCTTTCTTTATCCAATACCCACAGGCCGCCCAGCGGGACAATGTAGAATGCATCTCTATTCTCCTCATGCACGGGGCTGATCCCCACATTATAGATGCCAATGGCGATGCTGCCCTCCACCACGCCATTTGCAGAGGGAACTTAAGAGTTGTCAGCAAACTGCTGGAGTATAATGTAGATATTAAAGCCAAAACAGAGGTAAGAATCATTCAACTTCATTCACAATGTACTTCTAGCAATGACACTCAGATCACTTTCCACATTCTGAAGCTCAAGCAGTCTCACTGAATCTGTTCAGAGTAAAGCATTTTTTCCAAATCTGTTTTTCATAGTTTTGTAGGTAACTTAAAGGAACTCAGCACAGCACATTTTGTTTTAGACTTGGGCTTTACTTTAAAATTCAACAAGTAAAGGACTTGGGCCCACACATACTTCACATACACACAAACAATAGAAAAAATAATTTTAAGATAAATGTCTGTAGAAAAAACATAAATCTGTTGCAATTAAGAAGTTACTGATGTGAATTGTCCCTCAGAGATGAGGCTAGAGTGGGAAGGTCACAGGAACACAGGTAAATGTGAAAATTTGATCATTGAAGAAAACATGCTGAGAAGACATTTTCACTTAACTTTTTCAGATTTTATATGTACATAACAAAGGGGCCAAAATGGGACTCTGTCTTAGACAAGGAGCAATTCCATTGTAATTAATGACCTCAGCCTGAATCCAAGACGTTCCCCAGTCAAGTTTAGCCAATTGGGTAAACAGTTCCAAACCTGGCTTTATAAGGCCGGGAGACCAGAGTTGCAGGATCTGGCTGCTACTGACCACATGTGACAGAAAAATCCCACAATGGATGAAACTGTTACTAATTCTGTCCAATCAACATGCTCCCCATGTAACTGCTCCGTGACTGCCCAATTACTGAAAAGATATATAAAAGATTAAAAAGATAGAATTCCCCATGTCCATTTTAGAAGGGCCTGTATGTCTTTGTCCGTGGTCCTCATTATCACTTTATATGGGTGATGGACTGTTGCATGCTGGCTATTTCTGAAGAATAAGCACTCTTTGTGTTTACATACCATTTGAGCCTGAGGTCTTCCTCCAGCATCGTTTGGACCACTACAACAGGAAATGATGTTTGGTTTGGGAGAGAATTTTAAGGTTAGGGAAAGTAGTTTTAAAAAACAGGTTGAGAAACTGCTCCAGAGATGCCACTTGAGTTCACTCATTCAACAGAGGCATACCAAATCTATCTCCATGTTTTAGGATTGGGGCAATGGAGGCACATCTCCATGGAGCTAAGAAACTGGGAACCAGCAAGCGGTTGTGGGAAGTTCTGGAAATACTGGTGTTCACGGGCATTGTTAGACAGGGAAAGATGTTTCAAAGGAAAAGAAAGCCCTGTGTGTGAATCTGCAGCAAGGGCTGAAGGAAAATCTATCCTTTTGTGATTCATTTTGTTTTCAAAATCTGTGATACATTTTTCATTTGAGAAGCATGTCAATTTATAAAATGAAATTTTTCCTTTACAGTACGGATTGACACCCTATAAACTCGCTTTGTTTGAAAATCAACTTAAAATGGCGGAGTTTTTAATTGAGAACGGTGCAGACGCACCTTCGGAGCTTACACCAAATAGGTACCATTTCTTTTTTACAATCTTAGTGCTGTTCTTGAGGGTGTCATTGCTTAAGTAATGAACACTAAAATGGTAGAGGGAAAATGGCTTCAACTCATAAGCATATATTGAGAAAGACTAGCTCACAGGGAGTGTGAGCTGGAAAAGAGACTGTTCCAACATAAACAAAGGAACAGTGTGTACCAGGGCTCAGCTTCCCATTTAAAAACAAGTTATCATTTCTAATCTGATTTGATTGGCAATTTTCTACTTGTTAAGGCAACTTCACATTAATGTTGTTTACTTTGAAAAGTGTCAAGTTTATTATCAACACTGAAATGTATAATTTTATTATTTTTAGCCTGTTCCTTATATATTTTCTTCTTATATATGTTCAACTTAAATATTTTTTTTGAAATCATGTTGTCTCTTTGATCATTCACTTTGCTTTAAGTAAATTTGAATAAGCAAATAGTTTAGGGTATCCATCAATTAGATGATATTACCAGATGCTATTATTTTCCCCTGTCCTGTCTGAACTATCTTGACACTGTGTTAGTCAGATGTGAATCTGTACACCCAAACTCCTGAAACAGCTAATCTGGATAGGGACACTTGTCCAAAATGAGTACAAAGAACTAAGACTCCATTGAGAAAATGCCTCCATAAGATCTGGTTGTAAGGCATTTTCTTAATTAGTGATTGATGGATAAGGGCCCAACACATCATGGGAGGTGCTGTTCCAGGGCTCATGGCCCAGAGTTCTATAAGAAAGCAGAATGAGCAAGCCAGTAAGCAGCTCTATAAGAAAGCAGAATGAGCAAGCCAGTAAGCAGCTCTCTTCCATGGCCTCTGTAAGCTCCTGCCTCCAGCTTCCTTCCCTGTTTGAGTTCCTGCCTTATCTTCCTTTAATGATGGACTATGGTGCAGACATATAAGCCAAATGAATCCTTTGGTCCCCAAATTCATTTTGGTCATGGTGTTTTATCACAGAAATAGCAGCTCTAAAATGGACACTTGGTATTTAAGATGATTTCAGCATTAAAAATTAAATGATTACCTTTTTTGTTCATACATGCAAGTTTAAAGTCAGATGAATTAAAAAGTAAAGCCTGTGTGTTGTGTATGTTTTTACTGAAAATACACTTTGGACATACCATATATTCTAAACAGGTTTAGCATCCCTCATCTTCATGTACTTGTTTTTGTGTCAGAGGACATGCGTGCACTGATATTCCCAACCAAGACACAGTACAACACTGTGTGATGGCTTTGTCTTCCATCTTTTTTGAGGCATTTTTTTCTATTTTTATTTGGCACTTGGCCACTTGCTCCAGGTAAGCAGGCTGGGAAGCCTCTTTGGTATCTTACTACCTCCACTTCCTTTGTACTATAAAAGTGCTGGGATTATAGATACATTGCACAGTGTCTGACTTTTTGTTGAATTCCAGGTATTCAAATTCTGGGCTAATGTGACAATTATGTATACCCACTGAGCCATCTATCTGGCTGTAAAACACTCAATTTTTAAAAGAAGACTTTGGGTCTAAATTAAGAGGTGGCTGGAGAGGGAGGGGGAGAAGGGTGGGAGGAGGGGGAGAAGGGTGGGAGGAGGGGGAGGGAAATGGGAGGCTGGGAGGAGGTGGAAACTTGTTTTTTTTCTCCTTTTCTCAATAAAAAAAAATAAAAAATAAAAAAATGACAAAAAAACAAAAATAAATAAATTAAGAGGTGGCTATAAGTGTATTGCTATTAATTATGGAACTAAGGCTTCTGAGTGCAGAGCACTTTCAATTAAACCTCTAATCCAGTTAGTGGGCCTGTGTTTCCTTCTAAGAAGAACCATTTGAGGTCATTTATTCTTCCTTCAATACAAGATAGACAGAAATTTGTAAAGCTGGTACTTTTTTTTTTTTTTTTTTTTTTTTTTTTTTTTTAAAGTATTTATTTATTTTGTATACAATATTCTGTCTGTGTGTATGACTGCAGGCCAGAAGAGGGCACCAGATCTCATTCCAGATGGTTGTGAGCCACCATGTGGTTGCTGGGAATTGAACTCAGGACCTTTGGAAGAGCAGGCAATGCTCTTAACCTCTGAGCCATCTCTCCAGCTCCCAAGCTGGTACTTTTGAAGCAAATAAAGTGTGCCTGTGACTTTGACAGGGAATAGCACAGTTTTAGGAATTCATGACTAGGAGCATGTCTCAGGAATAAAGTACTTATCACATAAACCCAAGATTTCAGGGTTCAACTCCTCAGAACACCTAAAGGGCCTCATGTGCTGTGTGTGCATCTTAATCTCAGGGAACCTTGAGGGACATGGGAGATGGAGAGAGGAGACTGTCTGGAATGTTATACTTTAGATAGTCTTGCTTTTTATAGCTGTTAACAACAAGAAACTCTGCCTCAAAACTAAGTTAGAAGGCAAGGACTGCCAGTCAAGGATGTCCTCTGACCTAAAAAACATGCACTAGGATCAACAGACACAAATGCATACACAGATATGAACAGGAACGCATATCAAATATGAAGATGAAAAAGTAAGTTTAGGTTGTTGATCTAGTAAGACTGGGGGTCATTATCTGCTAAAAAGACATTGGAAATAGTGGTCAAGGTTGAAGGTTTTCTTAGTTTTCTGGAGATCACTTCAGCAGCGGTGCTATTTTGGACAAGGTTCACACCGCAGGTGAAAAGTCCCCATGACAAGTTCCAAGACTGTGATGACAGCCAAAGCAGAAACTAGGAAAATAAAGCTGCTGGTCCAGAGTATCCTGGCAATAGGCCCTGAAGTACAGCAGTCTTAGCTGTGACCTGGGAAGAATATAGCTGACAAAAGAGTGTTGCTTTCCTTGAGTTTGGAAGCTGGTCGTGAGTTACAAAGACTCAGGATTACATAAAAAGGCTTATGAACAAAGAAACAGCCAGGCGGTGGTTTCAGCATTCACACATGGAAGAACTGTTAAAACAATTTGAAGGTGCCACAACTGTCACAGCTTCTGAGAATGCAGGCAGAAGGATGCTTAGAAGCAAAAAAAAAAAAATACTTTTTCATATACTGACCATTGAGAGCATAGTACTCAACAAAATACCTCCAAAGAGTTCTGACAGATAGGACTGTGGGGCCTTAGGGACAAGCAGGCAGATGAGTGGAACAGGAACACTGACTCCATGAGCATATAAATACAAGGTTACTGGAGCATTCCAAGCAAATCTATGGAAAAAGCACTGCTATCATTCGTGTGTGTGTGCGAGAGAGTGTGTGTGTGTGTGTGTTTTAATCAAGAGCTAAATTTTCTCTGTTTCTTCTCTATGAGGGAAGGTGGGAAGGACAGCAGTCATTAATCATCACCAACTGTTGAAGAATTAGTTTAGAGTTATTAGGCTGGGCCTTGTTGCCCATGCCTTTAATCCCAGAACTTGGAAAACAGGAGGCACACAGATCTCTTTGATTTCAAAACCAACATGATGCATATAGTGGCTTTAAAGTCAGCTGGACTGCATAATGAAATCCTACTTCAAAAAATTATTTGTAAATATATAATGTAAGATATCTTAGGGACTCAAAAATAAAGAATTTAGAAAACATGCTAAGTATTTTTATATGAATAGTTAAATGATGATCACTTTTAAACATATGTCACAGTGGAGGAGCAACTGCAGTGGAATCAGAACAAGCAATGAAAACGTGTGCCAACTCCAACAAAGGTAAGAATGACTCCAACTGCTCCTACCTTCCCTAAAGAAAATAAGGAAGAGTGAAGATTTTAGATCCCCAAAAAGAAGCTAAGGAAATCCAGTATAAATGCAGTTCTGTGGTTTTCAAATATTCTGAAAAGTCAGAATTAATTAAGAAATTATTTCAAAGAACTTTTAACTGTGAAAATATATTGTCAAAACATTGCTTATTTTATATTAATGCTGTACTGCCTTTGAATAAAGGAGAAATCAACTTTACACACATGTGTCCTCCATAGTCACATTGCAGCAAATAGGATTATTAGAAATACATATTCTCCTGAGTTTTATGACAAAAGTCTTGTATTTTGTGCTGCATAACAGTACACAGGTAGGTGTCACTAGAATGTAATTATGTCACAAACCAACCTCAGTAATCAATAACTTTCATTAAATAATTTCCTACCTTATGATATAATTAAAATCTTCTGACCTCTTTAATGTCTGAGCAATTTCTCAATTCGGACAGTTTTGTCCTACTGTATAATTGTTTTCTTTAGAAATCTCCCATTTTAGGGTGAAAGCTTCGTTCCGTAATGAATGTATTGAGTTTATGAAGACATATCAATCCTGACATGTTTTCCTTTTCTTTTTCTTTTCTTTCTTTCCTTCTTTTCTTCCTTCCTTTCTTCTCTTCTTCTTTTTTGTTTTGTTTTGGTTTTCTGAAGAGCTAGACATTGAGCACAGGCTTTGGGAGCATTCTAGGCTAGCACCCTACCCATTATCCCTACTTTTCTCTTTAGTTTTTCTTATAAAACATGGTAAGGGTGAATATCATTTCCATGCTGCAAAGCGTGATTCAGGAATAAATATTGGAACAAAAAGCAGAGTGTAGAAAATGACATCATTCTGTATTTCAAATAATTATCTGCTTCTCCATTGAGTCTGAAGAGACTTTGTGGCAGTGGCAGGAATACCACGTAGTATTTACTTTCAGTAACTGTCACCACAGTGTCTTTTATACCTAAGTTGCCAGTGGCAACCACACTAAGTAGAGAATGCAAAACCCTCTTCCCTCAAGAGGTAAGATGAAGAGAGTCAATATTATTGTAATGGAGACAGCTTTGTGTCACTTTATTATGAAGTTTGCTGTTCATGGCATTTGTGGTGGTGAGACCTGACTGAGGCCTCCTGCATAATAAGCATAGGCTTTCCTACTGTGCCGCAATCCCAGTCCACTAGTTGGTGGCTCAAATGACCTTCCTGAGTCATGAGGAATGCTTAAAAGCACATTAAGTTTCTCTGACTTTAATCAAGACAAAAAAAATAAATGAAGGTTTCATTTCATTTTTGTTTTCTTATGTTTATTTTGGTTTTGTGAGACAGTGTTTTCCTGTGTGTTGACTTTGAGCCTAACCTGAAATTCATTCTGTAGACAAGGCTAGGCTTGAAATTACAGAGATCTGCATGTCTCTGGTACCAAGTGCTGGGATTAAAGGAATGTACCATCACTGCCCAACTCAAATCTTTATTTCTAAAAGCAAGCTACAAGTGTCTAGGGAAGGATTGAGTGAGTTTATTGTTTGCATATGTAAACATGTACAATGATCCTATATCAGAAGGAAGCCCATGGAATTTGCTGCTGCAGTCTCACAGCTTCTTCTCTGCTGCTCTCTCACCTGGGGTAGAGCTCGGGGTTATTACTACCAAGGGAGGGATCTTTCCAATAATTCTTTTCAGGGGAGATGATGCCTGCTTTCTTGAGCATCCTTTAAGCTGCATATAAGGCTGGGAACACAGATATAACTAAGGAACTTCTTCCCTCAACAGGGATGAGGAGAGGAATCCTGTTGAACTCCCTTGAGCTGTTAGGTAAAAGTCTTTGCCCCTCTTCTCTTTCTTTCTGTTAGGTTATACCCTGATACAAAAGACAAAATGTAGTCCCAGTGGTAGCATTTTGTACCATAAAATGAACAATTTTAACTAAAAAGCTGAACAAGATTCTTTGTTTCCCTGAAGAACAAAAATGTGTATAGGCTCATGGATTTTTTTTTCCATTTTGAATCTGTTGTTTTGTTTGTGAGACACCATCTCATTGTTAGGTAGTTCTGGCTGTCTTGGGAATCACAGGGATCCACCTGCCTTTGCCATCCATGTGCTGGGATTAAAGTTGTGTGCCACCATTTAGACTCTAGAATTTTTCTCAAGCGTCATTATCCCAAAGTCAAACAAGAACCACAGAAGCTATTTTGTGACACAGTCAATTGATGCTTATACTGGTAAGGATGCTACTCTCCATCTGTCTGAGAGATAATAAAGGGTCATCTCAATTGTTTATGGGTGGGTGTTTACCTTTAGGTATTATGCTTGTTAAATTTAAGTCTTCTTTGATTTGAAATATTAAAAAAATGAATGAATTTCCCATGAGGAAATTTCTTACAAAGGAGTATTTACTCTAGAATAATCTAGATTCATCTCAAAAAAAATTATACTATTTGCCTAATAATTTTATATGTTATATTTCTCTAGCATTGTAATGAATTAATTTTGATTTTTTTAGAAAAAAATTTCAGCACTGACATAAAGCCTTCTTGCAGGTAAGGTCTAACAATATATAAAGACTAAGGAAATTCAAAGATAACAAGCTAATTATTGGTTGTATTCTCAGATAGATACCAATTTATACACTCAATTTTTGTGTTGTCTTACAACCCCACAGGTTTTTTGATGTATTTTTAGACTGAAAATTTATTGTTTTTAGATCATGGGCATGAGGTTTTTACTCAACCATCACTTCCCCTGTACCAATTCGGTGTTTTGGAAAATGAGCTTCATAATGTTTACCACACACACTATGTCCATCTGATACTCCTTGCCTTTTCAAAACTTCCTGAAATCAGCTAGTGAACTAGATCTTCATCGCATTTGTCATTCTGAGAGCTGACAGGATTTGGGATCATTCTGCATTATCACACAGTATTACAGAAAGCCAACAAATTACTTTGTTCCTTTGACACCATCTCCACATGCCGAGGCCCTTTTGTTCTGCGTAGGACCCTTTTATAGATGGTGGAAGATCCCATGCCTTCCTCCTACCACAGTGCTCCATCCATCACTTTTCCATTCCTTTGAGCTGTTTTCTACAGTAATGAAGTCTCTGGATCTCAGTAGATTATCTGGATGTAGAGAGCCAAACTGTGGCATGTTTACTCTTTATGTGTCTATAAAAGGGGCTTTGTCTTCCCCATCAGTAGGACATGAACATAGAGTAAAAGGCCCCTTCTGTCAGTGATCTGCTATCTCAGACACTGATTTGGCAGAAAATTAAAGGTGGTATGTCAAGCTAGTTCTGTGCTCATCTTAATTGATTACTTCCATAATAGAGGACAATTGTGTTATCATTTGTGGGAACATGTATCATAAAGCATTCGATACACATTAGTAAATTGCTTATTACTAATTATTTATTAATAAATTACTCCAAGTTAAAAGGTCCAAAGTGCAGATTCATAAATTAAAGTAGCTACAACTGTTCAAAGACACACCTTGTAAAAACCATGTTCTCTTCTACTAGGAATTCTAAACTGTCTCAAGCTAATAACCTGAAATTATCCACTGAGTTTTATTGTTGTTTGTTCATATTTTTATCTCATTAAGTGAATAGCAATGCTCATTTGGCATAGGAACAGGCCGATTGTGGTTTCAAGATTCACTCATGAATGGACTACTAAGGGACAGCCTGAGCATAGCCTAGGCCATGGTATCTTGTCAGAGTGTTAGCAGAAGCAGGAATCTATTCTATGGTCCACAAACAAACCTTGTGAGATAGCATCACAAGCATTGAGAGCTCACAAAGTAACCTGAGAGAGAGGGGTTCTGTGATGCTCTAGGAGCAGATGATGACATGACAAGTGGAATCGGGGTACTAATTACATTGAGCACAAGAGTGACCATCAGTTACTACAATTTTAAAAAATGTGCTGGAAAGAAACTACTGTCTTTGGTGTTCTCTCTCTCTCTCTCTCTCTCTCTCTTTCTCTCTCTATCTCTTTCTGTCTTTCTCTCTTTCTCTCCCTCGTGTGTTTCTATGCTTTCGGTGGACTAATTTCTGTGGACTAAATCTTTCCTTTCTTTTACATGGGAAAAGTTTTAAAGAAGTGTCACCAAACCTAATCAACTGATTGAAGGACAAGTTAATGCTTGACTGTAAATCTCTAATGTATGTTAGGAAATCAGACAGCAAATAATCAAAGCATTTGGTAAATGTTCTTGTATGAATATTAAAATATTACATTTTAAAATATGCAACAGCGGCATACGACCACCTGGAGAGCTGAAACCAATACTTAAGAAGTCTCTTCAGATCAGTGGAGGTAAGAGTAATCATGAATACTTTGCTGCTACTTCCCTAGTTTCAATAGCAACTTAATTCATTCAAAAAAGGAACAAAGTAAATAAGATATAAACGTAATTTCATTTTTTAGAATTTGCTTCCTAATGTTCTTCACATTCAAAATTATTTCAGAAATGATTTTCTGAGAAATTTCAGTATCAAACTATATTATCTGAATCATGTTTATTTATTTAACATGAGCCTCTGATGCACACAGTATCTTTGTATAAATATAAGGACCTCTAACTAGTCCACAGTATGTGTCCTCCAGAATTATGTGACAGCAATTTTGCTTGTTATAAAATGAATTTTTCTTTCATTTTTCTGATAAATATATTACATTTATGCTACATATATATTAGTGTCAATGAAAGGTGATCATGTAAAAAACAGAAATACAGTATTCAATTACTTTCATTAAGGATTTTGAGAACTAAATTAACTACATTTTTATGGGTTTTGTTCCTTTCTATAAGTTCTCTACTTAGACATATTAGAAAATTCACATATGGTTTTATGTTTATCTTTAATTATCTGCTATTTAATCTATTTCTTGGCCTACAAAATAATAGGCTTGGTCAACTTTTTAAAAAATGGACTTTGAGTCCTGTAGGCAGTGCTGAGGATTGAACATTGCCATTCTTTTTTTTTTTTTTAATTTATTTATTTATTAAGGATTTCTGCCTCGTCCCCACCACCGCTTCCCATTTCCCTCCCCCTCCCCCCGATCAAGTCCCCCCCCCCTCATCTGCTCGAAGAGCAATCAGGGTTCCCTGACCTGTGGGAAGCCCAAGGACTGCCCACCTCTATCCAGGTCTCGTAAGGTGAGCATTCAAACTGCCTAGGCTCCCACAAAGCCAGTACGTGCAGTAGGATCAAAAACCCACTGCAATTGTTCTTGAATTCTCAGTATTCCTCATTGTCCGCTATGTTCAGCTAGTCCGGATTTATCCCATGCTTTTTCAGACCTAGGCCAGCTGGCCTTGGTGAGATCCCAATAGAACATCCCCATTGTCTTAGTGTGTGGGTGCACCCCTTGTGGTCCTGAGTTCCTTGCTCGTGCTCCGTCTCCTTCTGCTCCTGATTTGGACCTTGAGATTTCTGTCCGGTGCTCCCGTGTGGGTCTCTGTCTCTGTCTCCTTTCATCGCCTGATGAAGGTTAATATTCCTGAGGATGCCTATGTGTTTGTCTTTGGATTCGCCTTATTTAGCTTCTCTAGGAACATGAATTATAAGCTCAATGTCCTTTATTTATGGCTAGAAACCAATATATACATATTAGAGTATTACTCAGCAGTAAAAAACAAGGACTTCTTGAATTTTGCATACAAATGGATGGAAATAGAAAACACTATCCTGAGTGAGGTAAGCCAGACCCAAAAAGAGGAACATGGGATGTACTCACTCATATTTGGTTTCTAGCCATAAATAAAGAACATTGCCATTCTAAGCATTCGAGACTAGCGCTCGCCCTAATGGCTATACCGCCAGCACCTTCTCCTTTGGTTTTATTAGTGTAGGATATGGTGATACTTGGTTTATATGCTGATAGACATAATTTCCAGAACAATTTACCACAGTAGGAGGAAGGCTGAGAAAAGAGCATCATTCTGCAGGGGACAGCACTGACTGGTCCACTGAGTCTGGATAAGATTCTAAGAGTGGGAGGAACACTACAGAGTTTGGGCTCTCCGCTGTCACCACAGTGTCTTTCACACCTACCTTGCCTATTGAGAGCACAGCATCAAGTGAATAGGAGTACGTGGAGTGTAGAGGGTCTGAAAGACTTTATTGAAAAGAGTCAGCATTATTGTAATGTGGGTGACTGTCCTTTACATTATTTCCACACTAAATTTCCTTTGTTGTGATGATGGTTGATGGAGGTCTCTCACATGCTAAGCCTCATTGGCAGTCCATTTGTTGGTGGGACAAATGCTTTGCCTCAGCCATAGGCAATGTCAAGGAGGTTATACTGGAGTTTCCATACTGTGAGTGAAATAAGCAAAAATTTGCTTTATTCCTTTGTAGAGGGCAGGCTGTTAGCATACAGTGAAAGCTGCTCACTTGAAGCTGTGTATGTGTAGACACAAACGTTTCCTGTGAGGTACTACTCCCATGGAATTGCTGCTTTATCCCCATGTCTCTTCCATGCTTCTTGCCCTGGAGATACAGTTCAGGGTGCATAACTACTGCAGGGGGCTTTCCCATAGCTCTTACCATGGGAGGTGATAGCAGCTAGTGCTGAGGTTCTTTGCACTGCCCGTTAGCGAGGGACCAGAAGCTAGAACTGAGGGGCTTCTGCAGCTTCCTCAGAAGCACTTGGGGAGAGTACACACAATTCCCCCTCTCTCTCTCTCTCTGTAGCTTTGCCACCCTGGCATCTGGAAATTCTTTGCCCTTGGTCTACCTGTGTTTCTTAACTTTTGCTATGCTGCAAAGAGCGGTCCTCATAGACTTAGCTTCCCTGTGTCTGGAATTTTCATCTTCAACGAAATAAGTTCAACTTAATCTTTAGAGAGGCTCTTTTCACTTCCATGCAAGATGAGTACGCTCACTTGCTCCTAACACCACTAGTCCAGAGACAAATCCAGCAGCAGCAACACTGTGCTACCAATTAACACTTCAGCTTGTGATATTGATTCTGGTTAAGATGTCAGTTTCTCTGTTTGATAATGCTCATGATCATAGGTATTTTGTATACCAATTTATTATTAGTATCGACTTTTGATAAAATTGTCTCTGTATTTTAAACATACAAAGAAGTGTAAATTAAGAGTTATCCTTGTTTTTATTGTCCATAAATCAGTATTCACCTTGAAGGCTACACAGATTCAAAGTATATGTAGTAACGAAGCATTGGCCTTGGCATTCAATGCTCTTTTTTCTACAGTTGCTTATAACATATTTTGCCTTTCTACTCTGTAGATAATGGAAGAAATCAAGACCAAATCCCACTCAGGTAAGAATGTCTGGATTTTAAATACAGTATGTAGAGAATATAAAGTTCAGAAGCTGGCACCAAGTTTTCCTCTGTGTAAGACAATTTTAGCTTCTTGATTATTCGCTAATGAAAGCTGAATTATGCCTCAGATACAGCGTGCAATGCTGTTAGGACTCCCAGTCTGTGGTGGTGATTCAGCAGATAAAATGCTGGCTGTGCATATGGGAGAATGGGAGATGGATGCCCAGGGTCCACATGAGGCCTGTTGGTCTTGTGCGCTTCTAAAATCCTGGTGAGCTTTGGTGAGATTGCAGGTGGAGACAGAGCATACTCTCACATTTTCTGGATGTCTTGCCTGGATTGCTAGCCTGGGGCTTGCATTCATGAATGAGATTCAGCCATATAACTAAGGCTGAGGGTGAGGGTTGACACCCATGTCTGTACTCCAATCACCACACCTATACACTGGCACATATTTAACTGCAATCATACATTCTTACAAATACACTGCACATAACATGCAGTTACATATATGTAAAAATATTAGTTTTCAGGCTGTTAATCCTGTTTACTAGTATGTTTGGGACAAGGTGTCTGCTGGGAAGAGTATGGGCAAAACTCTCCCAGACTTTGCTGAGAAAATCACCTCAGAATGGCCTTATAGAAATGCTTCTGTTCAGCAGGTTTATTTCCCTCTTAATGAGTTCCACCTCTGTGGTGAATCCCTAGGTAGGTGGAAGTTACAAAAAGAAAGTGTTTGTTCCAGAGTTTGTCAATCAGAAACCCTGAAATTAGGAACTTTTAGCTGTAGATCCGATGAATCAAAGCTGAGGGGAGAGTGTTGCTCCCTAGTGTCCTATAAAATGACTCAGAAATACCCTTAAGTATAAAGAGTTTCAACATATGCATGTGGACACACTATCAAATCTTCAAGGCACCAAAATATGATGACTTCTGAGATTGATGGCAACTTAATGCTTAGACATAGAGTACATTTCATGTTTTCCCAAAGCAACTCTTTGAAGAGAGTGCTATGAAATGAAATGCCTAATTTTTTTTTTTTTTTTACAAAAAACAGGCCATGGTACTTTAGGTTTAGGGGAACAAATGAAATAGGAGCATTAAGTGCTCAAAACAATCAGTTACTGCAAGCATCATAACAAGTATGTGCAAAACTCGCCATTTCCCCTTCTTATGTGATTGGATGTGTGTGTGTGTGTGTGTGTGTGTGTGTGTGTGTGTGTGTGTGTTGCATGTGTGCATGTGTCTGTGCCTGTTGCATGCTTTGCATATTTTTTTGTGCAGACATGAGGGAAAGAGGAGGATATTGGTGTCTTGCATCATTCTCTAACTTATCCACTTGACATAAGATCTCTGACTGACGCTGGAGCTGGTCTGGCAGCCAACAAGCCCAATTGGTAGCCTGTTCCACCCACAGTACTGGGGTACATGTGCATGTGTCCATGCCCAGTTTTTTATGTGGATGCTGAGGATTCAAACTCAGGTTGATCTGTGTTGGCAGCAAACATTCTTATTGACTGAGCCATCTCCCAAACCACTGGCTTTTTAAATTTTCATTTTTAAATAAAACTATGAGTGAGTCTTCACTGAATGTTACATAGATTGAGACAAGTTGAAACTGCCAAAGTAAAAACTTTTTAAAACGGGGGTCAATGTTGAATTACATAAATGCAAAAATGTCACTTAGTGCACAGATAACAAATCTTTCAAGAGAGATGCTCTAAGGACCAAACTCACCCCTCACTGCATGTTTTTACTCTAAAGGCTCTCTGAAAACCCTCATGTTACAACAGAGGACACGGCCACCACCTCGGCTATTAAGGTAAAATTCCCCTTTGTGAAATTTGTTTCCTTATGAATTTTGTTAAAATGCAGCAGTACTCTACCTATCACAGTTTTATATGGAAATTTGGTCAGAGAAAAGTGTTTGGTATCAGTGAACCATCCTTTCTATAAATTCCAGTGAGCAGTAAGTCCTTGCAGATAGCGGTGGCCCAATAGGAGAATGAACTGGAAACACAGGGAGGGGAAGATTGAGTGCAGTTCTCATATATTAGAAGATGCCTGGTGCTTGATCAAGGATGGTTTGCAGAAATAGATACACATTAGACTTATTTTAAAAACAACTGTGGTGATACATCTGAATACATTTTAGAGGGTCCGGTTATTGTAGTGGTTCAGGCATCACCCAGGTGCCTTTTCTCTCAGCATAATTGCAGGTAGGTTTTCTCTTCCCTTGGATATTCCTATTTCAGGATCACAGATAAAAGCATCTCCTATGTTTGTCTCTTTTCTTCTGTGTTTACATCAGCAAGAAATTTTGCAAATTTAGCTATTTGTAATCTGTTCAACCAAGTTTTCATTATGAAGAGATTACAGTCTGTTTTCTGTTTGATTCCACTAGGAGGATATTGACAACTTTTCCTCCAGGTACACGGTAAGTATTTTTCCCCAATTAGCCAGCAATTGTAGATGTGAAGATTCAATACCATATAGTAACACTTTGTTTTCTGGATATTTGCTCTGTATTTGACAATAATATATACTCTGATTCTTTGTATCATGTTCACCTATTTAAAATATCTTAGGGTTATACTTAGCATTTATGTGTTCATAGTAATGTGATCTCATCACTGTGAGCTGCTGGAGGTTAGGAATCCTGTTTGTAACCTGGAACCTTAGAGTAAGTGTTGTGTGAATCAGAAGTTGAATATTAATGACTTTTGAATGGGACTCAGCAGAAAAATGGGTTTCTATAAAGCAGTTTCACAGATCCTATGATATGGAGGACACTAGTAAGTGAGAGTATATTTATAAGTTGAAAATAATATACATTTTGCCTCCCAAACATAGAAGAGAAACACTGATGAAGGGGGGCTATTAAAAGTAATAATCATCTCAAATAAGATTCAGAAAGTTTAAAATATAGTGAGTTAAGTTTAGTCTCAATCACAGGGAAAGGCCAAATTTCAAATTCATGATTTTCTCAATCTAGCTAGTAAGGAATAAAGTAGTTTTGATATTGTGTACCCCAAATCAAGAGTTCATTTCCTAAGCAAACTAGGAAAATTGATCCTCTGTCTTTTCATTGCAGATCATAGAGAAACAAATTTTGTATTCCAAGAAGATCGCTGCAACAAAGAAGCAGGACCAAGCAGGTCTTAGCAAATCAAAATCAATGATAGACCTAAGTACTCTCGGAGAGGCACTGCCTGAGTTCTCTAAAAAGAAATCACGCTTGATGGTAATTCCTATTAATTTGAAAAGTAACATATTTGCCTGTGAGGAGAATGTTGACTTTGTGTTTCTAAGTCTGTATAGTTGCAAATCATGTCAGAGAAGACAAAGCCTTGAACATATCTTCCACCTCCATCATACTCTCATTCCTATGAATACCCATGCTAGCCTGTCCCCTTCTAAGACAGTAGTTCTCAATATTCCTTTTGCTGTGAACCTTCAACACAATTTCTCATGTGGTGATCCTAACCATAAAATGATTTTTGCTGCTCCTTCATAACTGTAATTTTGCTAATGTGATGAATCATAATGCTGATATCTGTGTTTCCACATGGCCTTAGATGATCTCTGTAAAAAGGTCCTATGATCCCCAAATGGGTTCACAGCTTGAGAATCCCTGTTCTAAGGTGTAAGTGATAGCAAATTAGACTATGGAAACAAAAATCAGAAAGTGAGTAACTTTTATCACAGTTGTGGAGGACTCATGAAATACAGAGAATAAAAAATAAAGACTCCTGGAGTCGTTACTGTCAACGTGAGTGCGCATAACATACATACAATGTTTTAAACTGATTTATTTTATGTGTATAAATATTTTGCATGCATTCTCTCCATTCACCTTGTGTGTGTGCTGCCCACAGACACCCAAGACAGCATTCGAACTCCTGGAATTGGTGTTCCAGATGGTTGTCAGCATATGTGTAGGTGCTCGAATCTAGTCCAGGTCTCTGCAAGAGGAAGAAGTGTCATAAACTACTGAGCCATCTTTCCAGTCCCCAGAATGAATCTGTTTGGTAAACAAATAGAGTATATCATCAGTGGAAATGAGTAGTCAGTCTCAGGATGTTTACCAAACTGCTAGCACTAGGCCACTTTGACACATTGAAATCCAGAGAACACAGAGGCAGCACAAAGAGCAATAGGAGGCTGGGCATGTTGGTGCACACCTTTAATCCCTGTACTCACGAAGCAGAGGCTGACTGTTCTCTGTCAGTTCAAGGACACACTGGTCTCTATTTATTTGAAGGATGGGGGGAGGCAAGGAACATGTGCACCAAGCAGAAGTGTGGAGGTCAAAGGATAATGTATATAGGAGTAAGTTTTCTCATTTCAGGCTCAGGTATCAAATTCAAGTTGTCAGTCATGCTGACAAGTGCCTTCATCCATTTAGCCATCACACTGGCTCTCTGATTTACACTTGGACTGAAATTTTGTAGCACTCACACACACCACCACCACCACCAGCCGCACCACCACCACCAAACAAGAGAAAAAGAGTGACACAGAGAGAGAAGGGCTATCATGTGTTTGAATACTTTGTTACAATTTAGGAGATTGGTTAACCTTTGGGATGGGATTTGGATGGGATTTGGTCTGGTTAGCAGAAGGTTGTCTGTGGTGGGTCTTAATGGTTATCACTACTTCTGGAATCAGTTCTGAGTTGTCTCCTTCCCTGTCTACCAGCATGTGAGAAGCAATAGACTATTGCCACAGACAAAGCTTCCCTGTTGGCTTTACCTACTTCAACTGCTGCAGGGAAAGTCAGTCAGTTAGAGCAGGGAAGGCAAACAGTAGTTCCCTGTAGCCATGAGCCTTTCTCCCTTGCTTAAATAATCTCTGTCAGATATTTTGTCACAGCAACTATAAAAGTAATAGCCTTTTTTGTTTTTTATTTATTTATTTTACTTTTTCTTTTATTCTTTAAGACATTTTTTTTATTTTACATACCAATCCCAATTCCCTCTCCCTCCCTTCTGCCTGCTCTCCCAACTCCCCACCACCCCACTCCACACTACCCCACTCCCCATTCACTCCTCATAGAGGATGAGGTCTCCCGTGGGGAGTCAACAAAGTCTGTCATATCCCTTGAGGCAGGACTAAGGCTATCCTCCCTGTATCTAGGCTGAGCAAAGTATCCCTCCATAGGGAATGGGTTCCAAAAAGCCAGTTCACACACTAGGGGTAAATAAATACTGGACCCACTGCCAGTGGACCCACAAAACTGACCAAACCATATGACTGTCACCCACATTCAGAGGGCCTAGTTTGGTCCTGTGCCAGTTCCCTAGTTGTCAGTCAAGAGCCAGTGAGCTCCCACAACCTTGGGTCAGCTGTTTCTGCAGGGTTTTTTTTTTTTTCTATAATCGACCTCATATTTGATCACAAAGCAAATCTCAACAGATTAAAAAAAGTGGAAATAACCCTGTGTCTTATTGGATCACCTATGGGTTAAAGTTAGAATTCAACAACACTAATTGCAAAAATTCTAAATACTCATAGAAACTGAATAATTCTCAACAGAATTATCCCTGGATCAAGGAAAAATAAAGGAAGCCTTCCTAGAATTTAATGAAAATGAATACATGACATACCCAATTCTTTGGGATACTTTGAAAGCAGTACTAACAGGAAAATTCATAGCACTAAGTGCCTACATAAAGAACCTGGAGAAATCTCACCCTAGCATCTTAACAGCACACCTGAAAGCTCTAGAACAAAAAAGGGAGTCTCACCCTGGAGGAGTAGATACCAGGAAATTATCAATTTGAGGACTAAAATCAATAAAATAGAAACAAAGTAAATGAAACAAAGAGTCAATGTGACAAAGAAATGGGTTTTTGAGAAAATCAGCAAGATAGAGAAACCCTTATTCAAACTAATCAAAAGAAAGAGAGACAAAATCCAAATTAATAAAATCAGAAATAAAAAGGGGGACATAGCATCAGACACTGAGAAAATCCAGAGAATTATCTGGTCATATTTCAAAAATATGTATTTGAGAAAAGTGGAAAACGTAAAGGAAATGGACAATTTTCTTTTGTGTTTTAAACATTCAGAAGGTATAAACAAGCAGAAGAGCTTGCTCTGTTTGTATACCCTACTTAAAACCAATTGCCAGTTTCCATTACAAATGGCTAACAACAAGCTGGGCGGTGGTGGCTCACGCCTTTAATCCCAGCACTTGGGAGGCAGAGGCAGGCGGATCTCTGTAAATTCGAGACCAGCCTGGTCTACAAGAGCTAGTTCTAGAACAGGCTCCAAAACCACAGAGAAACCCTGTCTCGAAAAACCAAAATAAATAAATAAAAAGAAAATAAAAAGAAAACAAACAAAAAAAAAACAAATGGCTAACAACTAGCTAGTTACCTTGAACCATCTAAATTCAGCATTAGGAGAGATGGGAGCAGACTTGACATAATTATGACACTTAATAAAATCATTAGTAACTGTAATTTTAATATTGTCAGAACCAAACTCAAAAGTTCTTTCTTTTAAGCTTAATCCAACTTGGTTTCTAAATTAATATTAGTTATTATGTATGATCAAAGTGAGTCATTGGTCAGGGGAGGTCTTAGCAGGGAGACAGATCTCAAGTGATTTTAATAAACAGACATTCAGTTGCCAGACATCTTCCAAGATTTCAGTGAAAAATCATTAGCATATAAATTGACATGATTAATACAAATGCAAATTTTAGACTAATGTCGAAATTTTAGTTTGATACAGAAAGTAAATAGTAATGTGATGAGTGTGGCGGCCATGGAGTGTTCCCCTTGGCGTGAAGGGACCAACATCTTGGATATGCAAAGGATTAGAATACAAACCACAATATCACTAATAGAAATGAGATCTTAGCATATTCTTCAGGCAAATAAAGTGAAAGGGCAGTTGTTTCTATCCTTCAAAGATGTGATTGAAATAAAAAGAGACATCACTTTTATGATGTTAGATTTGCATAAAATGATATTAACACATGAGTTTTCCCGAACCCATTACCTGGTGATTGCAGTGTAATGAGTATAAAATCACCACCTGATCTAGATAATGTCAGTTCCCCATGCTAACAGAATACTAAGCAGAAGTCTTCATGAAGAGCTACAGTCAGACACGCTGATAAATGACACAGGCTTCAAAGGCACAAAGATGATGCTTAGCTTAGGAGAAAGAAAAAGCTCACATCACAATGAGTTTTTCTCCATCATTCTGAACTGATAAAAACCAATCTCTACCCCAATCTCTGTTTTTCTCTCCTCTCTCTCTCTCGCACACACTTCTTTTCATTAAAAAGCTAGAACACACACAGAGACACATACACACACACACACACACATGCCAGCAGATCAGAGCCCTTACATTGCAATCCTATTGATAGGAGTTCCATCCCAGATAACACAACAAACAACAAGTGTTTCACATATGTAATCTCAACACCCCTAAATCCAGATTGGAGGCTGAAAGAGTAGAATAGCTCTGAAACCTACAAACCAGCCAGACTGGAACACACAGAGGCACAGAAACATTGCGAGACCCTGTCTCACCAGTGAAAGCAGAGAGCCGCCTCCTGAAGGTTATCCTCTGCCCTTCACACACACACACACACACACACACACACACGTGCGCGCACACATGTATGCATGCACATATACACACACACACTAGCATAGCACAAACAGGAATATTAATTCAAGCACACAAGCAAACACACACTCCAATAGTAATTTTTAGGATGATACAATATTGATTATTCAGATAATAAATGGTGTCTATATATTCATTGGCACTCCTGTTGTGTAACTAACATATAAGGAAAATATTTTCAGGGTCTCTCAGTCATCTTCAGTGTTTCTAATTTCCTTGTGACATGTGTCCTGGAAAACTATACTTGTACCATGTGGCCCTTTCATTTCCTTTTTATAACTGGCTTAAGCATATTTAGTTAATAATGAAGCAATGAGTGAAACATATGGCATGTGAAAATGTGTCTAAGGCTCACAAATCTCGAGCTTTGATGTGTTCACGCTCATCATTCTCAAGGAAACCAATGAACTGAACATTTTCACATGATGCCCTTGAGCAGTTTGGACACACATGTAGTATGTGTACTTCCTCATCTGCTTTCCTTTACAAACAATGCTTCTCACGCTATTTAGTTTACCATCTCCACGTTACATTGTTTGATCATGTTGAGTAAGCTTTGGAACGTTTGAGTTTTTCACATAAGTAGCACAAATCATCCTCAAACCTGGTACAGAAAGGTAAACATAGACTGCTAAGTCTCCCTGAGATGTCATGAATGATTAAGGCCTAGCATCATTATTTGTAATTGGAATAAAAGTTGGGGAGGCTCCCCTCCTGACAAACAGCATCAAATGCATTTTCAAAACTGGCACTTCCTAAATATATTTATTTATTTATTTATTAAAGATTTCTGCCTCCTCCCCGCCACTGCCTCCCATTTCCCTCCCCCTCCCCCAGTCAAGTCCCCCTCCCTAGCCCGTCTGAAGAGCAATCAGGGTTCCCTGCCCTGTGGGAAGTCCAAGGACCACCCACCTCCATCTAGGTCTAGTAAGGCACATGGTTCCAATGGGATACATACAATTTCATCACCACCATGATTGAGGCCGGCAGGCATGGTGCTGTAGCAGCAGCTGAGAGTTACATTTAAATCTATACAAGGAACCAAGAGCTCACTAGAAATGGCACCAGTCTTCTGAAACCCAAGACCACACAACTCCTCCAACAAGGCCACACCACCTATCCTTCCCCCCAAATAGTTACACTACCTGGAAACCAACATTCAAATATACGAGCCCATGAGTCTGTTCTCATTCAAGCCACCACAGAGATGCTGGAACAGGCCATTGCATTCATCAGCCATATATAAAAACAGTCATAGCTAAGGAGTAAGAGTATGGATGGCATCTCCCAGAACCCTTCCTTCAGCCCCATAGTTTCCATCCACTGTGGGTAGTGGCACACTTTATTCTTTCATTTCAAAAGTCACCCTCACTATTCTGTTATCCCGGGAACCTAATGGGCAATTGTGAAAGCCATGGGGAAAGCAGTAGTGTGGTGCAGAAGAGCGAGGTTCTTTTTGTTTCCAAAGCCCCCGATTGTCACATTCTCTTAATCTGGATGGAATGTAAAATCCTTGTCATAAAGACAGGAGAGGACACATTGTGTCTTTTTTTCCATCTTCCATTATAGAGAGGTAGCAAAGAACAGTAGAAAAGAAGGCATAAAGCTGAATAGATCCCCTTTTAAGATTCTCAAACTCTGGGCCTTTGACTAAACCAATGGAAGCAAAGGTTTCAGGATATCAGCGGTTATAGTGATAAAATTAGCCTGAGAAAACAAAACATTTGGGGACTCTAAATCAAGACCCTGACATTAACAGATAAGTTCTAAAATGAACAAAAATAAGTGAGATTTTCAATGAAATCTAACATCTCAAAATTTCCTTAAAGGTTGAGACAAAGAAGGGAGAAGATTTCCTTCCTCCACCTAATATGCATGACATCGTGCCCCAGCCTCCTGCCCATGCCGATGCCACATCAACTTCTCATGTTAGTGAAACAGGTGACAATCGTCAGTCATCCGAGGAAACTACTGTTAACACCACCAGCGTTAGTGAAAGAGGTGACAATCGTCAGTCATCCGAGGAAACTACTGTTAACACCAGCGTTAGTGAAAGAGGTGACAATCTTCAGTCTTCTGAGGAAACTACTGTTAACAACACCAGCGTGGATCACACACCTTCTCTAGGTACTTATACTGGGCATGCAAGGGGGAGAACACATGCTGTCCCTGAGCTTGCTCCTGGTAGCCACAGTGGTGACACCATGGACCCTGTGCAACATTCTGACCCCGTTCTTGATACCTGCTTAGAAGAGAACTCAGTGTCTTAGCTTCACTACTGACCAGAAATCTGCTCTTGTTTGTATCCCAGGTGACACGTTGGACCCTCAGAATGCTCATATGCGGGTTCTTGCTTCAAGTCCTGCTCATGGCACCAGCTATGCAGCGAATACTCCTGTCAAGGTTTTTCCAATTTGGGCAGCAACCACATCCTTGCTCCTCCTAACATCGTCAATGTGGTTGCTGCAGTTGGTGGCTTTGACGATGCCGTGGGTATGGAACCTAATTTAGAAATCCTGCACAGTTAAAGTTAAAGGGGCTTAACAAGGTAAGTTAGACCACACCAATGGCTTAAAATAGATAAATATTTCTGTGTGGGAAATCCAATTCTCTTTGGCTCTAATATGCATGATGATAAATAAATTTCATACTTTGTATAGGACTCTTTAGATACTACCTATAACTAGAAAAATGATTATCTTTTCTAGTCATATTGAAAATGCATCACATAAAATTAACAAAATCAGTATAGTCCAACCAAACTGATCAAGTAAAGTTGGTAAGCACACAGTTGCCTCCCATGCTGGAATGAGGAAATGATTTTCACTCTTAATGTGAAACTTGTATTTTCTGAATGGCTAAGCAGGGAAATGTAACTGTTAGATATTAGTTGTTATTTTTCTGTGTCCATACACTGTGACTTATATGGACAGCATTATTTTGGAAACAAACAAACAAAAGAAACAACCTCTGAGAATAAAACCAATGAAACAAGACTCCACATTCTCACCATTCTCAAATACAATGATACTCATTGTGACCTGACACTACATAGGATTCTACGGGTGATGCCTCTGTTACTGCTTATCTTGACGATGCTACCAATGATGTTCTTGATACTACTGATAATTCTTGCTTTTCTTTTTAGTTTCTGCTGAACAACCTATGAGGAGCTCCTATCATCAAATGACAATGTCAGAAGTATTTTTTGAGGTTTTCTTTCGTTTTATTGTTTGAAGAATATTTTCAGTTTACTCTTTGACTTTTTAATGTATGTAATTCAGATCATCCATGTTGCTCATATCTTCCCCATCCCTGTCCTCTGCCTCCATCCCATCCCCTAACTTGTCCTCATCCCATTTTTGTATCATGTGTCTTTTTTTTTTTTTTAAATATTTATTATGTATACAATAGTCTGTCTGTGTGTATGCCTGAAGGCCAGAAGAGGGCGCCAGACCTCTTTACAGATGGTTGTGAGCCACCATGTGGTTGCTGGGAATTGAACTCAGGACCTTTGGAAGAGCAGGCAATGCTCTTAACCACTGAGCCATCTCTCCAGCTCCTGTATCATGTGTCTTAAGGAGTAAGACTTCCAGTAGGATCCCCCACAGCCAAGTGCATGTGGACATTATCAGTTGGACTAAGTGAGTTATTAAAAAGGGAGGGAGACATAACATCCATCTTTCACCACTTTTGCAGATAAATTACATATAGTGTTTTGTTCCTTGAATTACTGGCCAGGCATTAAAACATTAAATCTTATCTAATTCTATAGACCTTATTATGCATTCAGTACATGTAAAGCTTGCTAAACTTTCATTCACCTATTTAAACATGTACTGTACATGCATCCCCAGAGAGAGGACACAACTCAAGGGGACACACAATTCAATAGGAATTTGACTTTATCTAGTGGAACATACTGATAAATTCTGAAAGATAAACAAAAACACTTTGCTACTTGGACTTTCACTCTTAATCCTCAATTAGAAGCCTCCTAGTTGTGTGGAATTCTAAGGAGGTTAAGGATCTGTAATGGAGAGTTGAAAGGAGCAAAGGGTCAAACGTATTTCCAAGAGGTCAATAAATTCATTATTCTGCCATCCGATAAAATATTGAAATCAATTTCTGCCTAGAATGAATTTCATGAGATTTCCAGAAAAGGAGTAGAGTTGCTTATTTGTAACAAAAGATGACAAATATTAGATGCCGAGTTTGCCACATCTTTATGAATACAAATATAGATATGTATGGGTTCCTTGGCACCCTATTGTTCAACATTCAGGAATGAAAAATTCCACTGAGAATTGTTGAGGCTAAGAGGCTCAGCTAGGGTTAGAATATAAAAATCAACATGGCATATGTGTGTGGGGGTTATGTATGTATATATGTACAATTAAAATACCTGGTCCTTTAAATGAGCTCAATTGTAGTCAGAATGCATGATTTTAAAACTGTATTTTTAAGGAAGCATGTGGAATATACTGCAGGGGAGGAAAGAATACTATCAAAATATATCATAAAAATAAATTATAATGTATTTCTGGTAGCATATACTAATCTAGTTCCTTCTTAGTTCACCTCCTTTTGTAGTATTCTAAAAAACATATTAACCTGTTGTACATTATTTTGAAAAAATTAAAGATATTAGACACCTTTAAAAATGATGTTTTTATGATGTTATTACATTGGCTTTCAAGTGACAATCTATCAGAAATATTTTATAAAATTTAGAAATTTTCCTCATTTAGACCTTGGGAGCTCAGTCCAGTGCTTCAGTGTGGGTCTTTGTCTTCATCTCAATCCATCTCGAGATGAAGGTTCTATGGTGATATGCAAGATATTCATCAGTGTGGCTATAAGATAGGCCAGTTCAGGTGCCCTCCCCTTAGCTGTTCAAGGAACAAGCTGGGGACATCTCCTTGGATACCTGGAAACTTCTCTAGAGTCCAGTCTCTTGCCAACCCTAAAATGGCTCCCTTAATTAAGATATATACTTCCCTGCTCCCATACCCACTCTTCCTCCATCCTCAACCGTCCCATCCCCCCAAGTTCTCCCCATCCTTCCCTTCTCACTTCTCTCTTCCCCTCTCCCCTTACTCCCACCTTACCCCCACCTGCAAGCTCTCAATTTTTGCCTGGCTATCTTGTCTACTGGGAGGATAACTACATGTGTTTCTTTAGGCTCACCTTCCTATTTCGCTTCTCTAGGATCACAATGTATAGGCTCAATGTCCTTTATTTATGGCTAGAATCCACTAATGAGTGAGTACATACCATATTCATCTTTTTGGGTCTGGGTTACCTCACTCAGGATAGTGTGTTCTATTTCCATCCATTTGGATGCAAAATTCAAGATGTCATTGTTTTTTACTACTGAGAAGAAAGAACATGAGCAAGGAAGTCAGGACCACAAGGGGTGCGTCCACCCACTGTGACAGTGGGGCTGACCTAATGGGAGCTCACCAAGGCCAGCTGGACTGGGATTGATGGAGCATGTGATCAAACCGGACTCTCTGAACATGGCTGACAAGGAGGGCTGACTGAGAAGCCAAGGACAATGACACTGGGTTTTGATTCTACTGCATGTACTGGCTTTGTGGGAGCCTAGTCTGTTTGGATGCTCACCTTCCTAGACCTGGATGGAGGGGGAGGACCTTGGACTTCCCACAGGGCAGGGAATCCTGACTGCTCTTTGGACTGGAGAGGGAGGGGGAAGGAAGGAAGGGGGAGGGAAATGGGAGGGGAGGAGGTGAAAAATTTTAATAATAATAATTAATAAAATAAAATTCTTACTCTCAGAAAAAAATTTAGAAATTTTAATGTTAAATATTTCTCTGAAAATTGATACAGTATATATTGAATTTTGTATATAAGTTTTTAGTAGCTTTTCATTAAAATGTACTATGAAAATATTTTAAACTGTTTCTTTGTATTGTACAAGCTGATGGCATGACCTCTTGGTGACATGTTTAAGGAGAAAGCTTCTATTATAGCTATCAGAGATAGAACAGACAGCGGCATATCAAATCGCCCAGAGCAGAAATAGATGTTGGCTGAACATAGTCAACTGCACCTGCCTATGATAGAAGCAGAAGCAGAGCAGAGAGGCAGATCTCCGGAGAGAGACAGAAGAGGAGATACAGAGAGAGGGAGAGGAACATAGAGACAGGGAGACAGAGAGATAGGTTTAGAAAGAGAATGAGAAGCTGGGAGAGGGATGCTTCTGAACTAGAGGGAGTTTAGGGTAGGGAGCAGGGTAGAAGACCTAGAACACGAGCATGGACTCTGACATGTCCAGTGGGTACTGGTGCTACTGAAGGACCTGGAGGCTAGTCTGTACCTTGTTATAGTAATAGATAATGACCACAGATAGTCAACTTTTCCTACTGCCAGTGAGAAGAGAAATGACCCCTTTGAGAAGAGGAAGTAGCTTCACAAGTTTTTAAGGAATGTTGGATTTATCTACCCTCCAGAAATCCTCCAAAAGTCCAAATTGAGCCCATTTCTGGGTATCTGGGCCTGAAATTGCAGTTTTGGAAACTGGAGTTCAATGAATTTTAGTGGATTTTCCAAGGCACAAACCAGTCATGTTGAGGTTTCCATTCTCACGCTGCTCTCACATGAGTAAAAACACCACCCGAGCTACTCTATTGGCCTTAACATCCATAGATTTAAACTGTGGCTGCTTTCCTGCATTCCCTCTTTACTTTTTATGACATTCCATCACCAGCACATGTTAAGTGAGCAAAGTCCCTCACTGAGGGTGGGGCCTTATGAGCCCCTTCCTGTGTATGATTATCATTGTGTCCTGGACACCATTTCATAGGAACAATCTTCAACCTCTGCCTCTCACTTCCAAAGTAGTCTCTGAGCCTTGCAGCGTGTTGTGGTTCAGATGTCCTGCTGAGGTCTGAGAACTGCACAGTTATGTATTCTCTAAACTTTGGCCAGGTGTGAGTCTGTGCAGTCAGCAGAGCCCACTTCCTAAAGAAGCCTCTCTCATTAGGGATCACAGTTGCTCTAATGTATAGGTGTCAGAGAGACTACATAGCTTGATGCCATGTAATTTTAACAAATCAACAACAGAGGGCCTATTGTGTGGATTCACCACATCAGTGATAACTCAGAGTCACCAATACTGCATCAGTGTGGCAATAAGGAAATAAAAGCACTTCCACTGGGAGTCATTTCCAGGTTTGAATTTTCTCCATGTTCTCTGTCTTCCCTCCTATGTCTGTTGCATGAATCCAAATCTGTGCCTTTCTAAAGAAGTCTGTCTATCCCTTTGTCTGGTTTTGTGTGTGTGTGTGTGTGTGTGTGTATGTATGTATGTGTGTGTGTGTGTGAGTCTTTGTCTGTCCCTATGTCTGTCTGTCCCTACATCTGACCCTATGTGTGAATTTGTGTGTCTGCCCCTTTTCTTGCTCTCTCTTTTATTGAATTTCCCCATAAGAATCACATGGGGAAGGAGTGGGGTACTTTACAGAAATCATTCATGGAGTCTTACAAGGGATTAAGGTAATGAGTGCAACTGAACCCAATTCACCCAGACAGGAAAAAAAATTACAAATACCATGATTCCCAGTAATGCTGCTGTGCCCAACTGTTTTGGTGGATACTCATTTAGAAGTGTTTTCAACCTCTATGTTTGCTCTTTTATACAAATGATATACTTGAATTGTTCTGGATCAGGGGCACAGAAGAAGTCATAATTTAACATTACAATTAAGTATTAGTTTAATTTGTAAAAGGTGGCTATTATGAAGACCAAGGAAAGTGGTGGTAATTGTTACATTTTTCTCTTAAAAGTTGGCTAAACAATTTGAGTACACAGTAGGAGAGCAGCCTTATGTCTTAAGTGACCTCAATGTATGTTATGAACTCTGGCTGTGATGTCAAGCAAATGTTCCAGTCTCTAGAATAAGACATATTTCCATATTACATCACCATGGCCTCAGTCATTGGGCTCTTAACCAAGTTTACAGAACCAGCCAAGAGTTCCCTACTGTGTGGGAGACCTAAAGTCAAATCACAAATTTCATTGTTCCTTTAAGAGTCAACACACAGAGAATATCTTGCCAGGCAAGTTGTCACACGCAGGGTCTACAGATGGGTAGAATCATTGCCAACTTCTCTCATCCAGTAGCTTGCATAGAAGTTCTAGTACTGTGAAAGCTAGCCAGCATGGACACAACATGACTTCTAAATGTCCTATATCCAAGGGTGTAGTGTGTTCAGAAGAGTCCTACAATCTAATTCTCATGTGTAAATGAGGACATTGGCAAGAGCTGGTAATGTTTGACAGGAGCCCCCCTTACTTCACAGCTCAGAGGGAACTATCCCATAGTATTGGGATCTTTGTTTAATCAACTTAATCTTCTGTGAAGAACGTTATCCATGCATGCACGGCTCCTTCATTCAGATGTTTTACTTAGGCTTCCAAGGATGCAACTTCATTCATTTGGCTTGGTGGCAAACCACGGTCCATGTATGGAGGTCAGAGGATCATTTTCTGGGTCATTTTCTTACCTTTTACTATGTGGTTTCCCAACATCAAACTTAACATTATATGGTTGGCATAAAGCACCTTAACATGCTATACTTAAACAACTTAAAATGTAGTATTTGTCCAAAAGGATTTTTTCCTCCATGCATACTTTTGGTTAACCCTTTCCCCAACACCACACTTCTTCCATCCCTGGTTAAACCTTTCCACTTGCAAGATTCCCTCACCCCATCCACAGTGCATTTCTTCTGCCATCCCACTTCCCTCCAGGCCTGTTCTCCTCTAAGGATCCATTTCATGCTTTCTGGCTTTAACAGGTATTCTAAATTAAAACCATTAATCTGAGAATTCAAAGCTTGGAACCACATGTAAAACAGAAGGGACACAGAAACATTCAGTCCATACAAAGAACCAGGGACATCATTGGCAGCATTGCAGCTCCCTAATTACCAAGGCATCTGGGGCAAGCTTAAATTCAAGGGCATTTGAGCCACACCCTCATCTCATTTGACCTAGAACAATCCTAACCACAAAGGATCTAGGACCACAGCATGGCATGAAGCAAGCCAAGGACCCATTTTAATGACCAAGCAACATGGCCATGCCTTAATACAAAGAATGTGTAGGGTGCTCCAGACCTTATCCTGACATCAGATGATATTTTTTGTCAAATAAGATGTATATTGCTTGAAAAAAATTTGGATATCTAAGCTGTGAAGGACAAAGAAACTTTGGAGCATCAGAGGAAAACCATGGGAGAAGGAGTTAAAATGGGCTAGAAGAATAATAACATCATGCGTGAGAGAATCAGGAGGGAAACATCAAGAGTAAAGACAGAGTTAGAATGAGAGATGGAGAAAGCAGGGAGGGTAACAAAGGGGCATCATGAAAGCACCGTGAGAGAATAAAGAAGGAATCCCTCAGAATAGGTCTGAGTGTACATTTCCTAAGCCCTCAGATAAAGAAGTGTCAGTTTGTGCTACACTGTGGACTTTCCTTCAGTGCTGTCAGCAGCCTGGAAGCTGGTTCATAAGACTGTTGCACGCACCTTGCAGTGCACGCACCATGCTTGCTGGTACAAGTGTCAGTCACACAGGATATGCACCATGAGTGCTGCTGAGGTTGTGTCGGCCTCCTGCAGTGCATGCAGTGGAAGTGCTGGGCTACTGGTTTGCATTTGGGGCAGTGCATTCACAGTGAGTGGTGGGATATAGACATGAACTTCTGACGT